CCGTACCCAACCGGGCCCGGGCTCGCCGGTCGCTGGTGGCTCGGGAGGGTCCCTGCTCGGTTCCTACCGGCACAGGGCCGGGAGGCAGGGGGGCTGCCCCGGGGCCAGCACAGAGCAGCCCCCTGCGGAGAAAGGAACCAGGGAGTCCAGCACATTGTCCTCGATGAGAGACACAAGAGCAGCTGCCATCGTGGGGCTCCCGCCCTCCCAGTCTTATTGCCATGGTGTCTCGTTCAAAACAGCATCACCAGAGCTGGAGCTGAGGGGGGTCCCGGCAGGGGCACACACCAGCATGTCCGCAGTGGGAGTTGGGTTTTGCCCGGAGCTGGATAGTGCTGGGAGAGAAGACTTGGATTCTGGGCACATTTTAGGAGTGGGGAATGGTTGTCTTAGAGACAGAACAGCATTGAGTTCCAGACACAAAGTCTGGGGGAACCAACCCCTTCCCCTGGTCATGCACCAGCCCTGGGTTGGCTCCAAGATTGTGCTTGGAGACGCCACGTCGGTCTGAGCGATGTCACTGGAGCTGCAGCCACCAGGGGTACTGTCTGAGGTGAAGTTTGGAACAAGCAGGGTCCTGGCAGGCAGTGCAGGGCAGCGCAGGGTGATTGTGGAGCTATCACAGCAACGTCTCTTCCCTATGAATTACAGTGTAGTTTATTTTAAAATCCAAGCGAGGCTACAGAGTCACAGGTCACAGTGGAGTTCCCAGCCAGGACCGGCTGTCACGTCACTCACACCCACACAGGAGACGAACTAGGTACCTGTGCTTTTCCTTCCAGGATTCCCCTCCACGACGTGCCACAGAAAACCAGAGGGAGGTGGTGGGGCTGCTTATTGGCCCCGTGAGCCCGTGGGATCCAGCTGGTTCAGCTCGGACTGATCCAGCAGTTCAAAGTCATCCCCTTCCGCGTCCGTGTCCAAGTCTGAGCTGGCTGTTCTGAGATAAGTCTTTGCAGCTCTCTGGGGGTCGCCGCGGGAGGGGCCGGGCTGAGGGGCCCCAGACAGAGCCAGCTGGATCATCCCCCTGGTGACAAACCCTGCGATGTTGTCAGTGAGGTTCTGCACCGAGGGCAGCGTGCCGGGCTCCTCCTCGTCGTAGGGGAGATGCAGATCCTCCATCCCTGGGGGGCGGAAAGCCAGGCTCGGGATCCCAATGCTGGTGTCATCTTCATCATCGATGCCAGTTGCTTCCGGGTTTATGGAAGGGAAGTCAGGGAGATCCCTGGCAAAAGACTCTTCTGGGTCACTGTGACCATCCAGGTCTAGAAGAGGACAAAGTGCTTTAAATAAACAGCAGATGCCAAGTACCCCTCAGGGAAGGGCAGCACAGCACACTCAGGCTGGGCCATTACAGCCCCAGACAGACTGTCTCTTGTCATCACAGACCAGAGGTTCCTTCATCTCCCTGCACTCAGCTACCGGGATGTCACTGACTGTTCAGCTCAGCCCACAGGAAGGCATACTGCTCCAGCTGCATGCCCCCCTCAGCTTGCATCCCCTCCAAGCCTGCATCCCCACAGGCAGAGAACAGCAGAGCAGGATTTACCTCTGAGGAGCAGCTGTCACTGCTCTGCTAAAGCACCACAGGAACTAACTAGGAAGTTCAGCCCTGAAAAAACCGGCAGTTGCCTCTTATCCCAGCCAGTAGGACAGACATCCACCAGCCAGACCACAAGGACAGAAGGCTATGAATGCACCTTCCCTCCCACACCTCCCAGAACCTGCCCCTCCTCTCACCTTCCGACCCCTCTGTCAGGGGGGTCTGGCCCCGTGAAAGGTTAAAAATCCCATTTTCAGTGTAGGAAACCTCAGCATCTGAATGCTCTGAGTCAGAAATGGTGAGTTCCTTGGCGACTATGGAGTCATCCAGCTTTGAAATAGGAGATAAAATTGAAAACATCAATAATGGAAAGCTTATTCCTGTGCCTCAGTTCAAAACCTGTGATCCAGTGGCCACCAGTTAAACCCAGTCCTCAGGGGAGGCTGCTGCCTCAGGATCATTTCATACTTCAGTGCCCACCTGAGGAGACAGCAGCTGGTACAGGCAGCACTGGACATACTTGGATGAGACAGAACAGGAAAGATCCCTATAACAGGAGAGCATCCTCCTCTGATTTTCCATCCCAACTCAGCTACAGTGGGGGCCCTGTTCACCTCAGCTCTTCTGTTTCATTACCTTGGGACAGAAGGCAGCAAGCTCCTCCTCACTGTCACTCCCATCATCCGCCGCCTCCGGGTTCAGGGATCTGCGACGCGCTGCCAGAAACCGGGAACAAACCTTATTGTTGCTGCCAGGATCAGCCCTGAGCTGGCAAGCTTGGACAGAACCCCACATAGCAGGCTTTGTCCCCCAGCACAGCAACGTGATCATTTCTGACTGGGGCAGCAGCAGAGCTTTAGCTGAGATGAACACACTGACAGCAGCAACATTGCACTGAGCCTTCCTCCTTCCCTCCTCTTCCCCTCCCCTCCCTCCAGTGCAGTGCAACATGGGACACACGGTTCTGGCAGCTGAGAAACGACTGCCTGACACCAATTGCTCACAGGGAGATGCCTCTGGAGGCCGAGCTGCCTCTCTCCCTCTCACAGCAGTTGTGAGCATTTGCCAGGGTGCAGCCCTGCTCCCGCCGAGGGCCGGGGCACAAGCACCGTTCCCACACTTACGTTGCTTCTCCCGCTGCTTTGATACCATGTAGCCTCGAACGCTGAAATCCAGCCGCTGCAGAGCTGGCTCCAGCTTCATGTACATGCGCTGCCCCAGCCTGTGGTACACAGCCAGGGGCCACAGCAGGATGAAGAGCACTGAGGTAAGTGGGAACGCTGGTTAGAGGTTTGTTCAGGATGGCAAACCCGCTTTGAGACGCGGTGTAACACACAGGGTGAGAGCTGAGCACTGAAGGCAGGGAGGCAGGTGGGATTGGGGCAATCACCTCTGCCAATTTAACAGAACTGAGAGGCCAACCTATTAGTGCTCAGATCTACGGTCACTGATCACTCAGACACGTTCTCTCTGGACCAGAGATCTTAGAGTCTTGGTCGAGAACCACCACATTCCAGGCAGAATGTGTATTTTAAATTTTAAAGCAATTCACACAAGCATTCCTTTTGAGCAGAAGAGGCCCATCCCTCAGACATTCAGATCCCACTCATCTCTACCCCTTTCACTTAAGCCTGTACTGGCACAGAGATCTACTTACACAGCAAGTAAGAGAGCAGGAGCCCGGGGATGTACCGGCCCAGGACAGCCAGGAACGTGAAGACTCCACACACTAGAAGGCAAAACTGCAGACAAGGGAGGCAGTGAGTTTCCGGAATGAAGTGGTGGATTCACCCAGTTCTTGTTCTGTGCAGGCTCTAGCACAGTGAAGCTCTAAGGACAGTGAAGCCTCCCCAGGACTCGGGGACCTGCCCGAGGGGCAGCGCAGCAGGGCAGGGCTCCTCAGTGAGGAACTCCCTGAGGTTGGCATGCTAGAAGGAAGAGGCTTAAGGAGACAACTCTCCCAGGTGAAAAGGACAAGGACAGTACCACTGTCCTACAGGCTCCTCTTTGCATAAGTCTCAAAATAAATACAAAAATCTTGACACACTTTCTCAAACTGTTGAAATCCAATGGGGGAGACAAACCCAATACTGTAAAAAGCTGGAAAGCTCCAGAAGGAGCAGCTGCATTTTCCCCTCACTGGTGCATAACATGCCAACACTCACTCACTCTCTCCTCCCTCCTCCACAACCCAATTATTCTGCTGTGCTTCCTCCTCCTCTCCAGCACCTCCCAGCCCTGCTGCTGTGGGAGCCCTCCCGTGGTCCCTCCCGTGTCCCAGCGCGCTCCGCCGATGCCACCACAAAGGGACACAAGCAGTCAGCAGAGGCTCACACCAAATACTGTGTTTGCTGAGCTCTGCACATTCTCACCTTCCCAGGGTTCTGCCTCTTGAAAATGAAGAGGTTACTCAAGAAGCTGGTCCCAGCCACCCATCCTTCAGCCAGGTGGTGACAGAGCTCTGGCACTCCAAGCAGTCGAGGGTGAACGTATCCCCAGCTGCAGTGAGGGGAAGAATTTGGGATCAGATACTACTGCCTCAATGACAGTGCAGAAGTCACTAGTGACAAGCACTTGTCTCCATTCTACTTTCCTTCCCCCCAGTTGCTGGGGTCTACAGATGAGGATCAGCCTTCCAAACCACCACCTTGCTAAAAGCTGCATTTCTGTGCACTGTCCTAGCACATCCTGGCTCTCTCAAACACTCCCAAACACTCTTGACTTAGGCTGGTGTCTGTGCTGCTGGCAGGAAGGGCAGTGCAGAAGCAAACCAAGCTAATCCATTTGCTTTTTCTGCATTTATCTGGTCAACTGCAACCCTCAAGAATTCAGCACGAGGTTTACAAGCAGCCTTCTACCTCACTTAATATATGCAGGTACTACAGAGACATTATCTTTGGCAAGTTCTATCAGTGCTTAACTAGTCACACATATGGGGACATTAGGGACAGCAATTCCTTTTGTACCTGGGCCTCTTGAAAGGAGGAAAAAAAAAAAAAAGCCAGTCACTTGGCAAGAGCTCAAGTGATTTAATCTGGGGCTGAGCACCCAGCACAGCTCAGCAGCAAGGTGTGCCCAGAGAGAGAAAGGTGTTATTAGTGAGACAACACCCCAGCGTTTCCCAACCCACTATTAATGCTGCAGTCAGACCATAACTATGCAGTAGCAACTTCTGGGACAAGCCTGTTAAATATTCCCTATGGAGCTTCAGAAGACCTCATCATTTCCAAAAAAATGTTGTTTTCCTGCTACTGGAAGCCTGTACAAAAGGAATTGCTTTTAACCAACCCACTCAGTGGCAGGGGAAGGTTTACAATACTCAAGCATTACCAAAGGTCAGTAAAGGCAAAGAATGAGTGTAACACAATGATCTGGGCAAGTCAAAAACTTGTAAAACTTGTAACAATGGCGTGACAGAGCCCAGGGCTCCATCCCCCTCCCTCAGCAGCTCCCTTCTCCCCGGCCATTCCTCGCTCAGAGCCGACATTCCAAGCACATGCAGGGGATCACAGCACAGTACCAGGCAGCAGGTGGTTCACTCAGCTTCCTACCTCTCATTGTCTATTTCGTCAGGTCTTGACACTAAAATATTAAGAACAGACACAATATTAGCTGCAAGGAATTTGCCACGAGAATGCTGAGCTCTTGGGATTTAAGTAAAGCTTTAAGGTGCTGGGGAATAGCTGGAAAAGACATTAACTGTAATTAAGATCCCAAGATGCATCACTCCATAGCACATTTTGAACATGTACGTGTGAGAGCATAAGACTGCAGGAGAGGTCTTTGCTGCTCCTCAATACTGGCTGGACCTTGTCTGGACAGTGACAGGTATCAGCAAAACTCACCTCATTCGTCTCCCCCCGCACCCTCCCGGATGGTAGGGGAAGAACAGCTTGCTTACTGAGAGGCACCAGAGGTTTAAGTCTTTGATATTTTCTCACTCAGGCTGGGATTTGAAAAGTCACCCAGGGATGTACCAGTTATCCTGACAAATCAAAATCCAGGCCAGGAGGGAGCTGGGCAGACAGTTCCTACCACCTCGGCTGCAGAGCCTGACCCAGGCTGCTGCTACAACCTCAGGAAGACTTCAGTGTCTTCCCAGACAGAGCACAGGAGCTGAAGCAGAAAGCAGGGAGTTGTTCTTGCTGGTTAGTGAGGAAACCACTCCTGAGCCCACAAATCACCCCCTGCTCAGCCCAGCCTGTCCCTGCAAGACCAGGGACCCCTGTGCTGCTGAGGGTGGTGTCACTCAGGGGTGCATCATGTCAAACAGCAGAACTGCTCCCTGTGCTCTGAGCTCCACAGCAACAACCTTGCACTGACAACTCCACTCAGCAGCAAGGCTGGGACTCCATCCCCAAAAGAGAAGCTGGTTTATTACAGACTCTGAGGAAGAACCCAGACATATTCCACGTATGCTTCAACTTCTCACTTTGGTGCTGAACACTCAGAAGGTGAATCACTGCTTCCAAACCTGAACCAGTTCATGTACACCAGATGTTTCAAGATTATGAGACAAACACCACTGTCAAAAGCATGGAAAGCTTCTCTTTTCTATGGGCTCAAATTTTCCATCTCCAGAAGAACATACCTACAAGTATTCTCATTTGCTCCTGGACTCACAAAGCTAAACCTCTGGGATTCTGCCTCTCTAACTCAGGCTGTGCAGAGCCTCTGTACCTCTAGGGCTGAAAACCACTTGATTCACAGGTATCAACTCAAATGTTGTAACTTACCTGCAATTTCAGGCCAGATTTTGTGCTTCCACTGATCTAGACAAACTACTACAATGAGGGTAAATGCAACCAGGAACAGCAAGCGAAGAGAAGTCAGAGCAAAAAACCTACGAAGAAACAAACGGGGGGTACTGGCCGGTCCTGACACCGAACAGGGGCCACAGAAACTAATGCAAAACCTCAGAAACTGTTGCAGGCAGGGAGAAGGGAGCAAGTGCAGC